GGTTCTCTTTTCTTTTATATTTCTTTTCCTGATTGACTCTAGTGACACGACATGCACGCGTAATGCTCGGCCTGGTCTTAAGAAGTTAATTTAGTCATGAAGCAATGAAACAATGTTGAAGATGTAGGGACATTTAAGGGAAATAAATAAAGGCATTTTGAGATCACTTCAAGCCCGAATTGTGTGAAACTGGGGCAGATAGAACATAAAGAACCCCTATTGAAATGCATCATGTCGCATCAATTTGAATATAAAAGCAAGTTTGCCCCAATTTGTAGGGGGCCGTTCGTGGTAATGAGAGTGAGAGTGTTGTCCAATGATGCTTTGGATATAACAAATGTAGAAGGCGAATGTGTGGGTGCGGTCATCAAGTATGGCACAACCAAAAGATATTACGAATGTTTTCCTTGGTTTGTTTAATTGTGTTGTTTGTACTTGACATGTTTTGAAGGTTGGAATGACGAAGGCATTTTGTTCTGCTATCTAAACACTTTATCCCTCGTAACCCATTTTGAGCCTATTTATTTTTCTTTCATAACCGTCTTTCGGGATCAACGATACAATTCAGAAACGCAAGTGCGGAGGATAAGAAAGTGAAAAGAAAAAGAAAGAATCAACAAGAAAGGAAAAGGAGAAGAAAAATGAAAAGAGAAAAGAAAGAGAAAGAAAAGAAAAGAAAAGAGAAAAGCAAAAAGAAAAAAAAGAAAGAAAAAAAGAAGGAAAACAACAAAAAGAGAAAAGAGAGAGAAAGAAAAGACAGAGAAAAGAGAAAATCACAACAACAAAGTAATTCCTATGTCATGAACTATGTTCGACCTGATTCCTTTAAAGGATACGTAGGCAGCCTCACGGTTCGGTCTCCTCAAAATAAAAATCCAAAAGTCCCCAAGCAAGAAACTGGGGCAGAAGTTGTGGTTGTTGTAAGAAATCTGATTCCGAAAGTTGTAATTTTGAACCCATGAGAATTGTTTTCGAGCCTTTGACATCCTTTCTTCTTAACCCCATCCAAAAGCCCACATTACGGTCCAAAGAAAGACCTTTCTATCAGTCTTCGAGAGATGCCAAGTCGATCAAATAGAGGCGATTCATATCAGGGGCAACACTATGGACCAAGCAGAAAAAATAATAATAATGAAAATGAGAGAGGCTTGATGGTGAAAACCCTTCGGGCACTACAAGTCGAATAAGGATTATGAATCAGATTGAATAATCGGAGCATTAAAGCCCAGTTTCACGGTTTAGGGGTGTAACAGAAGTTGAACATCAGACTTGCTCATCAGAATAGGACACAGGTGCATGTCATGGTCATTAGAGTTAGTATCCACATATGATAGGTTTCTACTTTGTAGTTTTCTTGTTAGGAATCATTTCTTTCCTTTGTCCTTTACTCTGTTCCTTCTGTCTTGTTTACTTCCTCTTTCTGAGTCGGTTTGGTCAGAACAAGTGAGAAATGACTTCAAAATTTGCCACCAGCTTTTCAATTGCACAAAATGGGATCTGGCCAGCACATCAAAATAGCATAAGTTAGGAAAGAACAACAAACGCACTGAGTTGGTAGTAACCAACATGCTTTGGGGTCCATGAGAAATACAAAGGTTTGGTATATTTCAACTCGTGAACAGTACAACAGTTAGAGGATGTTGGGTGAACGGGTCAAAGGTATTCTCTATGATGAGATCAACAAAGGAAGTGTTTAACAAGTGACAAACGAGGTCTTCCAAGCAGAAATCAAAGTTGTCATGGCAAGTGGAGGAGCAATAGACCTCAAGGCCAATGCCAGTGGGTTAAGTTAGGAAAGAATAGCATGCACATTGAGTGGACGGCAATTGACGTGCTTTGGGATTCATGTGAAATACAAAGGTTTGGTACATAGCAATTCAGGAACAATGCAACAAGATGGAGGGTGATAAGTGAACGAATCAAAGTTATTTTTGGTGAAACACAAAGGTTGGTAAATGTCAGTTCATGAGCAATGCAACAGATAAAGGGATTTGTGTCTGAACGAAGAAGGGGTATTTTCTGTGATAAAGATGACAGAGAAAGTGGGTAGTACATAAGCAAGCAAGGTCCTCGAGTGGAAATTAGTTACCATGGGAAATGAAGGAGCAATCGCCCTCAAAGTCAAGGCCACAAACCAACCACCACATTTTAAACTGACAAAATTTTTCTTTGATTGAAACAGGGGCAGAAAAATTCGTTTGTTTCGGAGAAACCCTCCGTGGAGAAAGGCAGTCACCAAACAGGTTTGATTTTTGATTTTCAGGACCCTCCTGGAAAATGGGACCTAGTTTAAAGTTCAGAAATAGCATAATCTAGCATAAATGTATCCCAAAAGAATATAAGTTAGCTTAGAAGTTTGCATGTTCGATATAGGATTCAATTAGGAGTTTTCAGGACCCTCCTGGATAATGGGATTTAATTTAAAGTTTTCAGGACCCTCATGGATAATGAGATTTAATTTAAAGCTTTCAGGACCCTCCTGGATAATGGGATTTAGTTTTTAAATTTTTCAGGACCCTCCTGGATAATGGGATTTAATTTTAAA